CTGGACTCAGGCCATCCTTCTGCCTCAGCCTTCCAAGTAGCTGGAACTACAGGCACACGCCACCATGCCCAGCTAGTTTTTGGATTGATTGTAGAAATAAGGTCTTGCCAAATTGCCCAAACTGGTCTTGAACCCGTGGGCTCAGGAAATTCTCTCACCTTGGCTTCCCAAAGTGCTGGGATTATAGGCGTGAACCACCGCGTCTGGCCTCTAATTCATTTTTAAAATACTCTTTTTCTGATTATAAAAGTAACGCAGCCGGGCTCGATGGCTCAGCCTGTAATCCCAGCACTTTGGGAGGCCGCGAGGTGAGTGGACTGCCTGAGCCCGCGGGTTCGAGGCAACTTGATGAGACCTCATCCTCTACAACAAATCAAAAATTAGCCTGGCGTGGTAGCGCGTGCCTGTAGTTCCAGCTACTTGGAAGGCTGAGGCAGAAGGATCGCCGGAGCCCAGCAGGTCGAGGCTGCGGTGGCCGGGAGCGGCCACTGCACTCCAGTCTGGGTGGCTGAGTGAGACTCCAACTCAAAAAAAAAAAAATCAAAAGTAATGCATTCAGTTTACAATGGGAATATTACAGGGACAGTATACTGTAGCCTTGGATACTAACAACAGTACTAATACATAGCACTGTTTTGTATATATTCTAGAATTTTTGTTTGTGTGTGTGTGTGAGGGTCTCACTCTGTTGCCCAGGCTGGAGTACAGTGACATGATCACAGCTCACCACAGCCTCGACCTCCTAGGCTCAGGCAATCCTCCCGCCTCTGCCTCCTGAGTAGCTGGAATTGCGGGTACCCACTACCCTGTCTGGCTAATTTTTTGATTTTTTTGTAGGGACAAAGTTTCACTATGCTGCCCAGGCTAGTGTGGAACTTCTGGATTCAAGCAATCCTCCCATCTCAGTCTCCCAAAGTGCTGGGATTATAGGTGTGAGTCACCGTGCTCGGCTATGTTATCCCGTCTCTGTGAGAAAAACAGGTCACTAAACATGAAGCCTGGCAGGACCAGCTGGCAGGAGCTGTGGGGAATTTGGAAAGCCCCGGGCAAGATGTAACTTTGCTTTTCCACCATACGGGTGTGGACGGCAGCTGAGCCAGGGGCTTTCCACCTCTCCCTGAGGAGTGAACTTCAGACAAGCAAAATGCCTCGAACCGGGGAACTCTGGGGCACCATCACTTCTGGTCCTGTCACCTTGGCCCCAGTGATGTTTCTGAATGACTTCCGCTGGAAGCACAGGTTGATGTTTCTAGTTCTGGGGAGTCAAGGCTCTTTCTCCCTCCCTCCCTCCCAGCACAAACCCCCAGACGGCCTCCAACCCTGCACAACTCACGTCGCAGTTGGCTCGGCCCCCATTCCCACACCTCTGCTCCCTCAGGGTCTGCAGGAAAAGAGAAGACCAAGTGTCACAAGGGCCCTCCCCGCCGCCCCTCTGCCACGCACCCTTTGGAGGGGTGGTTGGGTCCCCACACGCACCAAGTGCTTGAACTCCGCAGAGAGGCTGCCGTTGTTGGACTCCTCCATGTTCATAACTTTTGTGTTTGTGCCCAGAATGTTAAACTTCCGGGACCTGAATCACAGGAGAACAACCGACCGCACAGGTGACTGAGTGGTCAGAGGATGAAGTCAGAGTCAACAGAACAGGGGGAAGCCTAGAGGCTGAACTTACCCTCTGAGAGCCGCCACGTCCCCGGAGTCTCTGTTAAGAACACAGACCGCTGTTAATAAAACAGACTCTGTGCTTCTTCAAAAAGTCTTTTACAGTGTCAACATCGCTACAGGAAAAATATGTAATTTAAGACAAAATTTATATAAGAGGTGCTCTCACTCGGCTGCCCAGATTGGAATACAGTGGTACAACCACAGCTCACTGCAGCCTCGAACTCCTGGGCTCAAGGGATCTTCCCTCCTCAGCCTCATGAATAGCTGGGACAGCAGGCACCATGCCTGGCTAATTTCTTGCTTTCTTTTCTTTTTTCTTTTTTTTTTGAGTAGAAGTCTCACTCTGTTGCCCAGGCAGGAGTGCAGTGGCATGCTCACAGTCACCGCAGCCTGGACCCACTGGGCTCAGGCGATCCTTCTGCCTCAGCCTTCCAAGTAGCTGGAACCATGGACGTGCACCACCATGCCTGGCTAATATTTTAGGTGATCTATTGCAGAGACGAGGTCTCGCCAAGTTGCTCAGGCTGGTCTCAAACCCCTGCACTCAGGCAATCCTCTCACCTCTGCCTCCCAAAGTACTGGAATTACAGGCGTGAGCCAGTGGCTAATTTTATTAATAATTTTTTTGTAGACACAGGGGCTCATTATGTTACCCAGGCTGGTCTCAAACTTCTGGCCTCAAGCCATCCTCCTTCCTCAGTCTCCCAAATGCTGGGATTACAGGTGTGAGCCATGTACCCAGCCACAAAATAAATAAAATAAAATTTAAAAAGCCTATTTTGACTACTCTAATGGAAAAACTCCTGTGGTCCTGGGAACCCATTTTTTTTTTTTTTTTGAGTTGGAGTCTCACTCGGTCGCCCAGACTGGAGTGCAGT